AAAGATGCAATCACCTTGTTAGCTGGCGAGAACATTGATCCCTTCAGAGCCATTCTGAATGTTGTGGCTGCACACAACACAGTGCACCGCACGAAAGGTTTCTCCCCAGCTCAATGGGCCTTCGGAAGGGACTTTGGAAGTGATGGCAGGTTGTTTGACAGCGAGCATGGACTTCCATGCATCCAGGCGAAGATCTACAACGACACGACCTTCGGCGAGAACCTCAACATCCGTGAAGCTGCCGCTTCAGTGTATCGCAAGTCGCAAGCAGATCATCAGATGTCTCGTTTGATGAATATGAAGACGAGGCCGAGCCGACAGTACTTACCGGGTGACCTCGTCTACTACAGAAGAGTCAAACCACCCGCTGACAATCCCGCTCATCCAGCGCTTGGAGCACCCAAGATCAATGGAGGACGCTGGTATGGACCGGGCAGGGTGGTGGCTTCAGAGACTCGGTCGGACTGCTATGGTTTGGAACGCAGGCCAATGAAAGTGGTATGGATATCTTCCGCCGGAAGATTGAAGAGATGTGCCCCTGATCAGCTAAGACACGCCTCGGAACGAGAGGCAATCCTGGCTGAAGAAGCGACGGACAAGGTTACCCCGGGATGGACGTTCCACTCTCTCCTTCGTGGCCTGGATAAAGGAAACTTTGAGATCTTCGATGACTATGTGTTCCCAGAGGACTCAGAAGTGAAAGTGTCGAGGCGGAGTCACCGCTCTAGGACACCTGCACGAGGAGATCTACGAGAACAACCAACGTCATCTACCACAAGTCAGATTCCAAGAACTCCAGGACGAACAGGAGAGCAACCAACGTCATCTACCACAAGTCAGATTCCGAGAACTCCAGGACGAACAGGAGAGCAACCGACGTCATCTACCACAAGTCAGATTCCGAGTACTCCAGGACGAACAGGAGATGTCCCAGGGGTCAAGAGGCATGTGTCGTTGGATCGATATCTCACAGACCCAGGGTACAATCCTGACCTATTTCAACAGGCCATGAGACGTTCAGTGGGTCCTGTTTCAGAAGATGCAGCTAGGGAGCTTCAGGACAATGCCGCGTTCAAGAAGGCAAGACAACAACATGAGCGACATGACAGGCCTCTCCATGTGATACAACAAGAGCGTCCACAAGGAGAAGTTCCACCTACGGAGGAAGCTACATTTCATCTTGAAGGACAAGAGTCGATTTCCAAAGATGAACTTATGGTGTGCAAGTTCGAGATCAAGCTTCCTGAAAGGGCCACCCAATGGAAGAAGTTCAACAGAGATGCTGCTTCGTGGGTGGTCAATGACTTGCGCAAGAGCGAAGTGAAGTACGCCCGTCTTGATCCCGATGAGAAGAAGCAGTTTGATGCGGCCAAGACTTCGGAGATCAACCAGTGGATCAAGGAGAAAGCCGTCAAACGTGCCATGACGGAGATTCCCCGTGGCAGAGTAATGAGAATGCGCTGGGTGCTTACATGGAAGTCGGACCCTCTGCCAGAAAATCCTGATCACCGCAAAGCAAAGGCTCGACTGGTGGTGGTTGGTTGTGAGGACCCCGACTTGACGGAGATCCCGCGAGCATCTCCTACGATGACCCGTCGCACGAGGCAACTGCTGTATGTGCTGTCACGGCTAAAAGGGTGGAAGACCATGAAAGCGGATGTGAAAGCCGCGTTCCTCCAAGGATCGGGCTCTCAACAACAGAGAGAAATATTCGCTATGCCGCCAAGCGAGTTGTCTGAGGCCATGAACATCCCACCAGGTGAAGCCATTCAGTTAGTCAAGGCTGCATATGGGCTGGTGAATGCACCAGCTGAATGGTATAAGTCGGTGCATGCCACTTTGTCCAAACTTGGGTTCCAGAGGCTGCGCACGGAACCATGCTGCTGGCGTTTGGTCCGCTACGTTGCGGGCAAACCAGTGCTACTGGGACTGATAGTGGCGCATGTTGACGATTTCATCCTGGCAGGGAATGAGGATGATGAGATGTGGCTACAAGCAGTGCGGGACTTCCACTCTGCGTACCGTTGGTCGCCTTGGGAATGCCGAGAATATCCTCATTGTGGAGTGCAAATACATGAAGGCGAGCAGGAGACCGTCATGTCACAGGCTGAGTACTGCGCTCAGCTGCAACAGATTGACATCTCAAACAGAGATGAGGATCTCCCGGCGACCGAAGAGGAGAAGAGTCAACTACGTGGATTGTTGGGCGGGATCCAATGGAGAGCTTACTCCACGGCCCCTCAACACCTGGCAACCCTGTCAATGCTTCAGACACAAGCGAACACTGCGACTGTGAAGACCCTGAAGGCCGCGAACAAGCTATGCCGTGAAGTTTATCATCACAGACATGAAACGATCAGAGTTCAAGATTTGGGAGTACAACCTGAGGATGTCGTCTTCAAAACCTGGTGTGATGCCGCCGTGGGCAATCGCCCTGACCTCAAAAGCACCGGGGGACACCTGGTGTGTGCCTCTGTACCGGCGATTCTTGAAGGAGAACCTGCTCCAGTGGTTCCCATTTCCTGGAAGAGTGGGAAGCTGCAGCGAGTATCCCGCTCCTCACTCGCCGCAGAAACTCAAGCATGCTCGGAAGCCGAGGAAGAACTGATGTATGTCAGAGTCCAATGGTGGGAGATGCTGGGATACGACATTGATCTCAGACGGCCAGAGCTTGCATGTAGTAAAGTCACAGGAGCTCTCATCACAGATGCGAAGAGTTTGTATGACGTCCTGATGAAAGGCGACCTCAACAGCGCGGCTGCCGGCTTGAAGGAGAAGTACAGTGCCTTGGAGGCCCTGTCCCTGATCGAGCGCATCCAAGCTGCCAAGACCAAGGTCCGCTGGGTTGACAGCGATGCTCAAGTTGCTGATGCCCTGACTAAGCCAGCGCCAAGTGGAGCTCTACATGCCCTACTGACTCTGGGCCGCTGGAAGCTTGTGTATGATCCGTCGTTCACCAGCGCGAAGCGAAGGCGCCAAGAATTCAATGTACGGCAGTAGATTGTTGGGCGTGCCAGTTTCAGAGGCATGTCTGCTAATTTTCTCTGCTGCCTTCCATGTAATTCTTTGCAAGCATGTTCTCACCGATGCTGTATTGCGTCAAGGGAACCCTTTTGCCAAGCTTTTGTCTTAGACAATGGCGCAACGCTACATGGAGCGCTGACCGGCGCTGTGGAAAAGCATTTGTGCTTTGAGACGACCGAAGACAGCATCGGAGTGCTGTCAGTGCTGTGTGTGTGTCAGCTCTCATTTGTGAGGGCTCAGAGTGCTACCAGAACCTGTCCAAGGCTCGCGAGCATGCTCCACAGAGATGAGAACTCAGTCTGAGCCACCGCAACACTCTCGTGAAGATGCTGCAAGCCACAGCGGGCAAAGATTGCCGCAACTTATTGACGAGATAGAGGGCCACTTGCTACAGCAAACTGTGCGACCTCCCCAAGATGCATCGGGCTGGATGCAGGAAACTGCAAAGCTGGAGCTGTACATGCAGGCCTTGTAATGCTGAAGCGTGCTTTGACGTGATCTCCTTAATCTTTCGAGTTCTGCTTGCCTTACAGTAGTGAGCTTTAGTGGACGTCGGCAAACTGACAGGAGATGCAAGAACTGTTGACGCAACACCTGGATGACGCCTAGCTGATGGCTGTAGCTGCTTCAGTTGCGGGCTCTTGTGCTTCGCTTGGGTGGAGCTGATGCATCGAGAAAAACCACCTGGGTCCCGTCGCTGAGGACATTGCAGAGTCCGCGCACGGCCGTGCAATTCGTGCTGCTGGGGGTCGCGGTCGGGGCGGCAGAGTAAACGGCAAGGTTCCCATCCGTGAACTCTCAGTCCTGCGTTATTTGGCTGGAAATAGCGAGGTGTGCCCCTTCTTGTCGCCTCGTCTTTGCAGCTCAGGCGGCGACAAAGACCTTAGATGGGCGAGACAGCAGCTCAAGAACTGAGTTTTGGCAGCACAGTACGTTTCTTTCAGGACGGGCACGGCGATGCAGCATGCTTGAACTTCAGCCATTTGGGCAGGGTGGTCGAGGAACGTGTCAGAAATAGCGATGGGAAAAAACACACCAATCAGCCAGCCAAGCGGAAGAAGTCATCTTCCCTGAATCACAAGACCATGGCTCATTGGTGATTGGGATCACTGTCTGGACAAAATCTGACGTTTGTAAGGTGAGCGCGAGCATGCACATCTTCAGCACCTTTTGGGAGATGAAGATTCCGAGAGGGTCCTGCTTGCCGAGATTCGGCAGGCACGCGATTCAGTTTCACGGGCTCTGGGCAGCAGTCTCACAGCTTGACACAGACATGGGCAAAGCATGTCTTGACAAATAACTATTGTTGGCCAGCGAGTGGTGGCTACATGTGGCTACGGCAAGTTTGGAAGGAAGGAATTCGGCGTCTGCTGCATTCCTCGCCATAGCCTGAACTATCCCTGTAACAGATCGCGAGCCACGCAGCACATTCAAACAGCAGGTAGCAATGCCAGTCAATTCTTCTGCCTCCAGCTTCAAAAATGCAGCAGCCTGCCGTTCCTTTCCCACGAAGACAGAGCCTGTCACAACTGGACATAATTTATTCTGCATACTCCAGTTGCAATCAAAGAACATGATGTACCCTGCTAGAAGATGCTAGAAGCAGCACCTTGCCCGTATGTAGAGCTCGAAGAGCGTACGAACAATTAACAGGCCACGTGGTTATCTCGCTATGACTGATGCATGTCACGATTTGTACAAGTTGGGATGGATTGTATATCATCGCATGACCTGTGGTGACAGGTGGAATCCACGCTGGAGCTGGAGAAGCGCAGGCTGAGAAATCTCCAGAAGGAAAGTCACAAACGTGAAAGGAGCATGGCCCGTGCGGCTGAGCGAGCTGGCGGCGGAGAACTTGGCAGCTTGAACATTGATGGCAACGCACGAGCTCTCAAGGAGGTTTGTAGGGGAACATGTTTTCGAGTTCGACGAAGAATTGCGTCATTGTCCCAGCCCAGCCCTGCACCCCATCACTCGCTTGATGCTGCGATGGCAGGTGGAAAGGCTGGAGGCAGAACTAGAAGTCTGGCAGATGAAGAATGCATCCTTAGAGAAACAAGTCGAGGAGTTGACGGCTAGGCTTCGGGATGCCATCCAAAGCCAGGAGAGGATGGTATCCAGACATCGGCAGATTCATACAAAGGAGAGCGAAGATGCAGCAAAGAAGGCCCAGGAAGAGCAGCGACAGCGACAAGACTCTCAGATCCAGGAAGAGAGGGAACTTCGCTCTGAGATTCAGAGCTTATTGGAGGCGCGGCGCAGCAGTGCCAGGAGCGCAGAGTCGACCATGAAAGAGCGAGCGCGGCGGTTGGAGGAGCTCCGCCGGCAACAAGCAGACACTTGGTGGCATGGGTGATGGGTAATGCCTTTTATGCAGTTTACGCCTTCAACCGTGGTCGCTAGCAGCTAGCCATAGTGAATTGGCCAGGAGAAAGAGGCATGCCTCTCACAGCTAAAGCTGACTGAGCAGCAGCTGCGGAGTCAACTTCGCTTGGAGCACCGCAGGCCCGGCAGTACGAGAAGTGGGCAACGCGGATCCAGGGCACCATCTTCGCCAAAGCGGCCAGCTGACAGGGGCAGAGATCCCACTTCTGATTGTCAGAACGGAGCCCAAGAACACGATCCAGAAGTGCCGACGAGGCCTGTTGAAGTCGCGATTCAAAGCACAGTGTTGCTTTTGACGGTTTTCATGTATCGCCATTTTACCTGCAGTTTCGCAGGCCATCCATCCAAACTCGAACTCGCCAGTTTTCTGGGTGCGGGTGATTCTTACTTGTGTGCACGCGATAACGCCGCAAGAAAGTACGAAGGCTTTGTTCATGAGACGAGTCGCTGCACTTCACGCTGAGCACCAGACCACGTCGGGCCAATGTCTCCAGCTCACCGGCCAGATTCCTGAAGTCGATTTGGCGTAGGATGTGCAGGCGTAGGCGTCCATGATTTTGTTTTTTGCCGATTTTCCGTTTGTGGATGACTGTTACACAAGATGTTGACGTGTGCAAACATGACATGCGCTCATTAGAGCATGATGCTTGGGGATAGCTGAAACGCACTTGCCTATGTCGCTCTCCGTTCTACCAGTCTACCAAGAGCTCGGCTGAAACATCCCGGCATGAGCGCCTGCGGCACAGTCTGACGATTCGAGACCTTGCAGTCTTGGGAAAACCTTGCAATCCTTGTCCGCAAACTTGCTAGCCAACATTGAAGAAGTGGACAGGCTGGATGTGGCATAAATGTGATACAACCTTCTCCTTGCGGGTAAGCTACGCACGCAAACCAAGTTCCATGAGCTTGCAGTGCAGGCCGTCGCTTTCGAAGAGCTGGCAGACAAAGCTGCCTGAAAGAATCGATCATTCTGCTCATGTATGCAGGGGGTTTAGTATGGTGCACTTTTGAGGCCCGACAAGCCGGCTTGCCCGGTCCGAGGCTCAACGCAACAACTCTTAGAAGCCAGGATTGTGTTGACGTTGTTGCAGAGCAGCTTTTTGTCAGATGTAGGTTCCGCTTATCATCAGTTCTGTACTTTGATCGCCTTTGGCGAGCACATGCATGAGCCAGTGGCCGCCAGATGTGTTGCGTGGTGTTTGCAGTGATGTGTCTGTCATTGTGTTATCGCGAGCTCCGTAGCAACCTGGTGCGGAGACAACACGCAACCAAGTTTGGATTTCTAAGCCCCGGAGCCTGATTGGTCTCGCATGGAGTGGTGTAGGGTTCAGCCGATGCATCCTTCAGTGCAGACATGAGCTTGTCACTGAGGCACGTAGGGCGGCTTCTTCTCCGTGAGGCTTCCCCTTTCGATGCTTGAATCAGCTTCCATGGGCTCGGACATTCCGAGGTTGTACATGTATGTAGGGGCGCAGGAGCAAAAACCCTCTTGCTGCCAGGCCAGACTTTAGTGTTCACTGCATGCCTGGGATGGATCGTGCGACTCTCTCATGAAACCATGGATGCTCGGATAGCCATCCCAGGTACTGCACTGTCGCACCTAGCCCGTTCTCCCACTTACGCAGTCAAGTCTGACAGTGGAAGGACTGTGCTTCTCCGATTAACGTCCATGCTGTGATCCGCAGGGCGCAAAGGAGCCCGACAGCTTTCACCCGCCAAAGACCCGCGGCTTGCGGAGTGTAAATGTTTCAACCGGCGCTGTTGGAATTTTGAGCGGTTGTGTGTCTCCGAGCCATCTAAAGCCTAATGCTTGCCCAATCCTTGCTTCAGATCGTCGCTCAACAATTCTTTCACATTCGCGATCACACTCTTCGTGCAATTCCCAAAGCATGCCACTCTTCTTGCATAGCGCATAGTGGCATCATGGCACCCTCACGGCTTCATGGGTCATAGGCCATAGGCCACAGCTTCAGACAGCATTCTTGGTCGAATGGCCGCTCCTGCCAGGAGCGTATGCATGCCGACGACGTGCGTAAAAATGTGAACTTACGCTTCTTGCTGGTCACAGCTCATGATGTGAACTACAAGATTGGGTTTTTGTGCTCAGTGGTGAATGAAGCATACTGCAAGAAGCATGGCTACGGTTTTGCACGGGTCGTGCGCAGCCAAGAGGAGATGTACAAATTGTCGTCGGGCCGGCACCTTGCGTGGGGGAAAGTGGCTATCCTCAGAGACCTGTTGCAGAGGTCAGGGAAGACAGTTTCTCCCTGCATTGAGGTCAGGGCCCAGGATTTCGATTATGTTGTTTGGATTGATGCTGATGCGATGATTTTGAACCACAATCTGAAGCTTGAACATTTCGTCACATTGGCACAGGAAGCGGACTTCATCATCGGTGAAGATATGGCAGATACAGATTTTCTCAACACTGGCCTCATGTTCTTCCGTACTTGCTCTGGGTGGTGCGAGGATCTTATTCAGAAGTGGTGGAACGACAGCGAAACCAGATGGCATCAGGAAGTATGCTGGGATCAAACCGGTCTGTGCTGCTTGCTGCAAGCACAGGGCCTTGTAGACCAGAAAAAGCATTGGTTCAGCTGGTGTGGTGGACCACAACATAAACGAATGCAGAACATGTTCGTTTTTGATTGCGGCAGTTTCAATTTCAAGTATCTCAACAGCTGTAAATTCGTGTTTCATGCGGTTGGAGAACGAGAACTTGCTTTCTCGTTCTCACGGCAACTGCTGCGAAAGGAGGACAGGCTGTATGCAGCCGTACGTGATGGCTTCGTGGAAGGTGGCTGGGATGTGGAAGTGCTTGAAGATTCGAGTTCGGTGTCTCCCATGCGGTCTGGTGATGTCGACTCTGCTACCTTACAACTGCAGCAGGCTCTACAGTTCTGGCGGGCATACGGTATTTCTCGCTCCGGAATGCGTGGGCAGCCTCCACCCCTTGGTTGGGGCTGTCAGATGCCAGCCCTGTGCCTCAATGCCGAAAATCTTGTGGCATCGTCACAGGGTTCTGCTGTGCTGCAGCTGCGTGAGGTGCTGTCCGCTCGCAGATTGCCAGTGTGGATTGTCGCTTGTCCGGACTTGCCTCAAAAATGCTTCAGCCATTCGCATATTTTACATGCGCTGGGCGAGGTGCCGGTACGTTTACAGCGTCCAGCACCGAGCGGCAAAAATGGGCTCCTCACGTGCATAGCCCGGTTCTGGCAGCTCTGGGACTATGCTACGGGCTGCCCCCCACCCTTCTCTCCACTCAGCGCCACCAGCACCAGCCCGTGGTGTCTCAGGGGTTGGAATCAATGGCAGCTGGCCCCGCAAGCTTCAAGCCTGCTGGAAGCTGCAGCGTCCTTTCCATCCTGGATGCATCAGGCATGTGCGGGGGCTTAGAGGGGGGGTTGGGCATGCCATGCTCTTGCTTTTCGGTGCTGCCTTCCTTTTTCAGCTCACAGGGCCGCAGCAGAGACTGGAGACACATGCATGGGGAAGTGGGGTTGGGCGGTAGGAGTTCGTTTAGTGCCTGATAGCTGCGAGTGGTGTCCATGGATCCGACGTGGACATGACGGAGCGCATGTTTGCATTCGCCGTGGGGGCCGCGGGCAGCTGGGACGATGAGGCGTTGGACCCAGCAAGACGGCATCACGAGGGAGGCAGTGCGTCCAGCAAGAGGGCCCGACTTCTCTGCCGACCTCGCTTCCTGGTGAAGCCTGTGTTCGTACAGCAGCCCATTACAGACAAGTATGTCGCGGCTGCGAGCAAGGCCCTGGAGCAGGCCTGACCTCCTGGATGGGGTCAAAGGGGTTCAGGGGATAAGGTGTGAGCTCCCGTTACGCGGAGTCTTTTGTACTCAGGCATCCTGAAGACCGATTAGCTAGAACAGTCTTTGGAAGGAGCAGATTCACTGACACACGCTGCGGCCTGTTCTGCTCCAGGGCAGTAAGCTTCCCTGATTGAAGTGTGCCAACGTAGCCGCTGTAGCCACTGCAGCCTGGAGAATCTGTAGCGATGGTGCTGGCGGCAGGGCTTTTGCTTGGATAAGTAGCTAAACCAGTTGATCCCCATTGTCGATAGGAGATCGATACACCCCAACTCGTTTTGTGAACCACTGCCCATTCTGATGGAATCAACGACCGTCGCGCTAGCACTGATGACTATTCGTCCAAACACAAGTACTAGCACTAGCACTACTGACGCGAATACTACTGGGATCTGCATTTCTGCTATTATGCATTTCTTGCTACCAGTACGTGTTTCTACTACTGCTGCCAGTACCACCACCCCACCACCCCCACCACTACCACCACCACCACCACCACCAGTGGCAGCAGTAGTGGGAACAGCAGGAGCAATAGTAGCTGCAAGTATTATGAGTAGTAGTAGTAGTAGTAGTAGTAGTAGCAGCAGTAGTAGTAGCAGTAGTAGTAGTAGGAGCAGCAGCAGCAGCAGGAGCAGGAGCAGTAGGAGTAGGAGTAGGAGGAGTAGGAGTAGGACTAGGACTAGGAGTAGGAGTGGTTTTGTCACCCACTTGAAAAGTGGTAGTAGTAGTCGTCGTCGTAGTAGTAGCAGCAGTAGCAGTAGCAGTATCAGGAGCAGGAGCAG